AATGTATTTCATGTTTCTATGCTCAAGAAACACTTGCATGATGAGGAGCAGCAGCGAGTATTGGATGCACCAGAGATTGAGCTTCAGGAGGATTTGACTACTGTTGAGATTCCGGTTCGTATTCTTGCCAGAGAGGACAAGAGACTCAGGAATAAGGTGATTCCCTTAGTAAAAGTTCAGTGGAACCGAGGAGGCGTTGAGGAGATTTCTTGGGAGCGCGAAGAGGACATGCGTCGCGACTACCCACACTTGGTTGAGCAGGTAAATTAACTCTTATTATGTTATATATCTTACTTTATGTTTATATCTTTGGTTATGTTCATATTTAACACTAGAATGAAGATATTTTAGCTTAAATTTTAATCTTTTGGAACACATGGTATATGTATGGGGGGTTCCTTGTTTGGATTTTTCGCCCGATGTACTAGTTCCAATAGATTAAGATTTGAGCGAGAATATTATCATTTTAGATCGTTAAGTATAAATATCTCTATATGTTATCTAATAATTCATATTTCTAGACTTGTATAAATTCCGAATTTCGAGGACGAAATTCTTTTAAAGGGGGAAGAATGTAAAACCCCAGAATTTCTATAATAAATTTATGTGAATTATTAATAATAAATAATTCCCTTATGATAAATAATATATATATACATATATATATCAGATAAAAGTGATTATCTGTGTTTGAGAACCCATCAAGTGTTTCTATGTGAGAGAAATCGAGTGAATAACCAGCATAGTATATGCCTAGCAGCAGCAGGCATTTTTCTGCTGCGCGGTCGACCGCACAGCGGTCTGAGAGTTTTCTCAGGTTGGGTTCAAACGGGTTTCGGGTCGGGTTTGTGGTTTGATATATAGGCTAATAACCCGAGAGAAACCCATTCTCTGATCTAAAATAAAAACCCTAGTCCCCCCTCTCTTCCCTAAAACCCTAACTCTCTTTGCTTGTTGATTGGGAGGAGTTCTTGAGGATTTTCAGCGGGTTTGTGGGATTTCAGCGAAGGGGATCAACCTCCTGCGGATCTAGGGATTCATCTTCTCACCAGAGGCGAGTAACTTCTCGCCCAACTCCACCCCTTTTGTTTTCATGTCAAAACTTGAGTTTTTATTTGGTTTTATTGGGCCAAATTCGTATTTTTGAATAGCTAATAGATCATTATGGCATAGAATATGAGATTTGGGCATTCCTTATTTTTACAACTCACCAATATATTCTGTTAAAGAGATCTAGATTTGAATATATCTAAAAAGGAGTAAAATTTTGTTTTTATTGTTAATGATAGGTAGATCATGTTTAAATATGTTGGGATCTTGGTAATGATTTCTAAAGGTGCAAAATTTCAGTTTTCTTTTACCTTTTATGTGACATTTTAAATGCTTGGTTGTTGATTAACTCAAAGAAGAATTTCTTCAGGTTTGGAATTTGGCAGAAGAACCCAAATCTGGGTTCTGCCTGCCTCGCGGTCGACTGCTACGGTCGACCGCTGGGCGCGCAGAAGGTCAGAATGCACTTGACCTCTGCGCGGTCGACCGACGCGATGTCTTGACGGTCGACCGACGCGATCAACCGTGAATGTCTTTGCTGAACAGTGAGGTTTGTATCCGTATGCGGTCGACCGGGTTGGTCGACCGCCGCCCAGTTTTGTGTCTTGTTAGATTTGCTGTATTGTTTCATGTGTTCGGGGGTTTTACCTCGATTATCAAATACTAGTTTTGGGTTTTTACATATATCTGCGCATGGTAGATGAATTGAGAGTACCAAATTTAGAATCACATGCCGAGAAGCGTGTGAAACTTGTATAAGCATATCTTTTCACATATCTCCTCGATAATTGCTATTTGGTCTAGGTATCGGGCAAAACTGCATTATTTCAGTCCTTGTGTTGGACTATAATCCATTAAAGTCCTCGTGTTTGACTATAATCCATTAAAGTCCTCGTGTTGGACTATAATCCATTAAAGTCCTTGTCTTGGACTATAATCCATTTCAGTACTCGTGTGGATATTTACCCACTTGACCATGTGTTAACCATTTGTTAAGCTATGAGTATGACACTTATCTGAATCAAGACATGACACTTATGAAGTTTTAGACCTTTGACACTTATTTGATTTCGATGGAACACAGTAGTTTATGTTCTGAGATGAGTTACATTTCTCTTTATTATTGTTTCTATATTAGACTTTGGGTCTGGTATTTAGGGATTTACAATTTGAGATATAAGGTATATACATGAGGGTTTTCTTGTTTGGATTATTTCGCTCGACGTACCTATGCTCGTGTTGTAAATTTTTAAATACAGAAATCCCTTTTTAGTTAAGGTTTATGAATTTGAGACTTATTATGTATTAACTGTATTTTCTTATACAACGAGCCCTATTCCCTTAGGGTTAATTGTGATGTTACTCGCTAGCGCTTTGACGCTCGTTGTCCCTCCCCCTTTCAGGTAATGAGCCAGGAGCCCGGAGAGTCGCAGGTTGATGGCGATGCATTTTATCTTTAGCTGTCTAGTTAGTTATATGTTTTATTTGGGGATCCACTTTAGATTTTCTTTTGTGTAGACATGTGAGAGTCTTGTTCTAGAAGTTGTAAAAGTTGTGTCCCTTATTTCCTCTTGTCAGACATTTGTATTTGAGACTTACTGAGTATTCCAGTTATCTATTCAGACATTGACTATGTATTGCTGTATGTTAGATGATGAGATATTTATGTGATTTCATTTCTTCAGTATTTCTTGTGTTATCTTTCACTTGCTTTTGTACCTACACCTGTTGTTGATTCCACTAGATAGATGTTAATTGTGATGGTGAAACATGTTATTGCACGGTGTGGTGCATGACAGATTTGACAATCTTGGTTTCACCTTGGACTGCAGCCTTGTGTGATCTCAGGGGCGTCACATTATACTTTCCTTAAGTGGTCTGATAGTTTATGCTTAATAAATCTAAAGTAAAATATGATAAAAAAGAGAATAGTTTATAAATCTTAAATGAAATCAACTAGTGGATTCAATTCTAGATCCTTATATTTTCTCTTGATTTCCTTCATATTTTCCTTATTTTGATTTTTTTTCCTTTGTGGTTAGTTTTTCTAGACTTGATTTGTTCGTTTCTAATTTTCTTTATTTCTCCTCCTTGTTATTCTTTATTTCATTTCATTTGTCCACTCTCTCTCTCTCCTCTTGTTCTAGTTTTCTTTTATTTATAGAAAAATCACAAACTCTCCTTATATCTCTTCTCTTTTACTCCTATTTGTCTACACAATTCTTAGAACCAATTTAGATCTTTCCTACACACCTTTATTGAGGGATCGATATTGTAAGTATACTATAACTTGATTGTACACTTGCAATCTAGAAACTATCTTAACTACACATCAATTAGTGGTGGATCAGATTTTGTGGTTTGGACGGTTTTACCCTCGGGTGTACCCTTACAATATGTGTTTCTTAGTTCATGCTCTATCTTATTATATCATACGTAGATGCTTTCCTCTATTTAGTTGTAGTTTGACCTATACCTGACTTTTATCAGTTAGACTCACCTTAGATGTATATTTCATATTTTACCCTTGTTTAGGCTTTGGTATGTGCGCAAGGACCCTTTTGATCCGGTTCTCGTGTACACGCCGAGTCGCGTGTCCATTTTCATATTTGGAACACGGGGTATGATAGTTTATGTGTTAACTAAAATTCAAAAGTCATTTGTATATAACGACTCCATTTTAAAGATACTCTCTAGGAGAAACCCAATTGAAAGTATGATAAATATAACGATATATCAAATCTAATACTATTCTAAAAGTGTGAAGGATGTTAAAAAAATTTCCCATAAAACCCTCTAAATTACATGTAACCACAATATTGCCTCCTTGACATTCTTATTCAATTGCTTAATAAGAAATTCAATGGCATAGTAGTAGTTTTAAGAGATTTCTTGGACAATTTAATTATAACCTTTTGTTCTTTTGCACATCTTGCATCTGCATGTATGTAAATTTTGTTTAATTTATTCTTGGAAATTAATCTATTCTTAATTAGTAAGGTTCACTAGTAGATATCTTTGAAATGCTGACAACAACATCCCTGACAGGAGGAGTATGCCGTCAGCGTTGTTTACATCCCATCTCGTCGCCGTTGTAAAGAGCCTCTCAATGATGTGAACATCACTGACTATCTTACATCACTGACGAGGAGCTATCAACGATGTTAAAGTTTTTTGGAGGGGCTTAGCCCTCTTAAAATTTATAAATTTTTCTTTTACCATAGCCTCGACTTTCACCTCTACCCTAAACCATATGTGCCCCTCCATCACCCCTTGCATGTCGTCCCATTGCCAGCATCCACTCTTCTGTTGTTAAGCCCCGAGTCACCCCGCCGACGATCTCTCTGCCACCAACACACCACAAGTCTCCATCCGCTTCTCCGCCACCAGCGCGCCGTTGTTGTCCCTGATCTTCTTAAGGTATTATCTTTTGCTAATTTTTAATTTTTATTACAATTTTATGTGTTATGGTTTGCACCTATTTGAAAATTTAAAATAAAAACCCTAATCCAACTCTAATTACAATGATATACCCAAATTGATCCTCATCAAACCCCAATAGTATTATCTTAAGCATATAACCCTAATTAAGTTTACTTTAAGTTTGGTAACCCTAACCCTAACTTTAGTTCTTATCAAATCTAACCAATTAAACTTATCTACCCAAGTATATAACACTAATTCAACTAACTTTTACCCAAAATTTAGCTTTTTTTATCTCTAATTAACTAATTTAACTTTATTAACTTTATCACTACCAAATAATAGGTCTATGGGGACGGTTTATAACTATCCCGCTAGACAATAAAATTGTCCTCATAGGCCTAAGGGAACGGTTACTCATCCGATACATTTGTTGCCGTAGTCTTTGGTCTAAGGGGACGGTTCATGATCCAAGTGGCACGGTTCTTGAATTGTTCCCGTAGACAACATTTGGGGACGGCTTAACTATGGGGATAGTTCATATTTCTGCAGATGGTGATAGTTATTTGGCAACGGGAACAGTTATATTTTTAAGCTACAGTGATACTTACACACCAAGGGGAACGGTTTCAAGTTTGACCTAAGAGGATGGTTTTATTGTCTATGGGAACGATTTTATTTGTGATCTATGGGGACAGTCAATGTTGAAAATAACGCATTATATAGCGTAAAATAGCGTTTAACGTAACGTAGCGCTGGGTTAACGCTACATAGCGTTTTGAAATAGCGCAGACGACAAATAACGCACGTTATTTCGGTCGTGGCGCACGTAACGTAGCGTTTTTGCGTAGCGTTTCTTAACCCGCGTTATTTGATTAATGGCTAGGATTTATTTTAAAAAAAATCAACGGCTGTGATTGACTTCAAATTCAACAAAACCTAAAAAAAAGAAGTCGTCGCCCAAATTCTAACCTCAGTCCTCGTCTTCATCTCCGGTCCTCGTCTTCACCGTCACGTCCTCGTCTTCGTCGTCTCAGGTCCTCGTCTCCGTCGTCGTCGTCTCCCGTCGAGCTTAGGGCCTTCGTCGTCGTCTCCCGCCGACCTTAGGGCCTTCGTCGTCGTCTTCTTCTCCGGTCCTCGTCTTCACCTTCACGTCCTCGTCTTAGTCGCCCGCCTGGATCTTTATCGTCATCGTCATATTCGGTCGAGCTTAGGGCCTTCGTCGTCGCCAAATTTAGGGCCTTCGCTGAGCTTAGGGCGTCGTCTCCCTGTCGATTTGATCCTGAAGTTCTTCACGAAAGGTGAGCTTGTAAATCTTCACGAATTTTTTGATTTTGATCTCTTGACATTTCTGCTTTTTAACTTTGAATTTTTCTCCCACTTTAATTAAAAGTCTACGATAGTTTTATAACATGTGGCTGACGAAAAGTTTCTTGAAAAGTAACCAAAATTAATTTTTTAACTTTGAACCTGATGTTTGATTAACACTTTAACTTTATTATATTGGCCTAAACTATTTGTTGCTGTCTAATCTACTGTTTAACTTTTATTAAAATTTCTGGTTTCTAATATGACCAAAATTATTTATGTGCAGAATCTAGTTATGTCTAAGAGTGTTGATCCAGTTAGGGAGCACGGAGTTTGGAAAGAAGGAGAACCTGCTCACTCTCTTTATTGCAAATTTTGCAACCATCATATTACATCGGGAGTAACAAGATTGAAGCATCACTTGGCAGGAACTCATAAAGGAGTTAGAAAATGTGATAAGGTTCCAGAGTTGGTTAAAAAACAATGTGTAGAGGCTTTGAAAGAAATGGAAACAGGAAAGGAAAAAAAAGCCGCCTTGGTTCGCTCCATTGGGAGAATGGAAGATTCACATTCACATGTGGAAGACGCTAAAAGTCAAGAGTTGGAGAGTGGACAGGGAAGTAATGCCCAACAGAGTAGGTCATTTGGACCTTTAGACACTTTCGTAAATGTGCAAGGGCGCCAAACCACAATGGAGAACAGATACAAAATAAAACAAAGAGATGAGGTGGTACAAAAGATCGGGAGATGCATTTTTGCTAATGGCCTCTCTTTCAATCTCTTGAGCAGTCCATATTGGAGAGAGATGGTAGATGTGATCAGGAAGTTCGGTCCCGGGCTTAAGCAACCCTCTCCTTATGAGATAAGGACACGGGTGCTAAAAAAAGAGGTAGAGGGAATTGATTCCATTAAGGCAAAGCACAAGGCGGCATGGGAAAAATACGGATGCACTCTTATGTCTGATGGGTGGTCAGACAAGAAGAGTAGAAGTTTAATCAATTTCCTTGTTAACTCGCCGGAGGGGATTTTCTTCTATAAGTCCATTGATGCCTCAACTCATATTAAGAATGGGGAGTATCTTTTTCAATGTATTGATAAAATTGTGGAGGAGATTGGCGAGCAACATGTCTTACAAGTTATCACTGATAATCATGCTTCTTATGTGCTTGCCGGGACAAAGCTTATGGAGGTAAGGAAGTCTCTTTATTGGACACCTTGTGCAGCTCATTGCATTGACCTCATGTTAGAGGACATAGGTAAGATGAAGATACACCGAGAGACTCTTGAGGTGGAAAAAGGAGTTATTCAGTTTATCTACAATCATTGTTGGGTATTGAGTCTAATGAGGAAGTACACAGGTGGGAAGGAGCTATTGAGACCCGCTGTTACTCGCTTTGCGACATCCTTTTTGACATTACAGAGGTTGTATTCCTTGAAACAACCTTTGAGGACTGTTACTCGCTTTGCGACATCCTTTTTGACATTACAGAGGTTGTATTCCTTGAAACAACCTTTGAGGAACATGTTCTCCTCTGAAGAGTTTCTCAGAAGAACTTGGGCAAAGAAGGCAAATGGAGTGAAAGCGAGGAACACAATTCTTTATTGCAGGTCATTTTGGGGACGAGTGATGTTTTGCTTCATCACAACACTTCCACTTGTGCATGTCCTCCGAGAGGTGGATTCCGATGTTAGGCCCTCTATGCCATTACTTTATGAGATGATGGATAGTGCAAAAGAGAAAATTGCAGATGCATGTGGTGGAATTGAAAGAAAATACATGCCCTATTGGAAACTAGTTGATAAGAGGTGGTCGGGAATGATGCATCGTCCTATTCATGCTGCTGCTTACTATCTTAATCCCAAGTACTTTTACGGGAATAAGTTTAGCAAGCACCCAGAGGTGAGGAAGGGACTTATCGAGTGCATGGCTCGCATGATCCCTGATGTTGCTGAAAGAGCAGAAGCCGACTATGAGCTAGATGCTTATAAAGAGAGGTTAGGAGAGTTCGGATCAGAGATGGCTCAGAGGACCCTTGCTTTTCGTAGTGCAGGTATTTTAAATTTGAAATTTAATTTGACAATAATAGTGATTTTAGTGTCATGTTGTCATATTATACTGATTTTTGATGTCTATATTTTAAAATTTATAGCCTATTGGTGGGAGAGATTTAGTGATGAGACTCCTTCATTACAGCGATTTGCAGTTCGTATTCTTTCTCTCACTACTAGTGCATCTGGATGTGAACGCAACTGGAGTACTTTTGAGCATGTAAAGAAAATACCAATTTAATAATTTTAATTAACATAACTACTCATATAAATTTGTAGCCTCATATTACATGTCATTATCATTTCGACAAGGTTCACTCTAAGAAGAGATGTCGCCTAGAGCAGGGGCGCCTCAACTCTCTTGTCTATGTCATGTATAACATCAAGTTAAGGGAGAGAAATATGAGGAGGAAGGCGCGGAAGTTAGATCCAATTTTGTTGGAGGAGGCTTCTACCGATGATGAGTGGATCATGGAGGAGGAGGATCCTTGTCTTCCGGATGATTTGACTTGGCTTGATGGTGATGATGGAGATATAGAGCATCTTGATGTTGCTGCAATTAGTAATCTAGCCACCGGAGAAGAGACATTGGAAGATGTTCTGCACACAAAGAAACAAAGGGTTAATGATTCTTGTAAGCTTTTTAAAAACTGAGAAAATTTGGTCGTTGCTTTCTTAGAATGAATCTATGATTTTCTAATTAAAATTATTTCTGCAGCATCCTCAGTACAAAGAGGAAAAGAGGTCGCTACTGAAGATGTACCTGCTGAGGATTATGATCCCGAAGATGCAAACATCATTCTGGAGGAGGACGACTTAGTATTTTAGTAGTATGAGCCTATGAGGGATTGATTTAGTGGAGGATGACTCATTTTGTAGGATTTATTAAAACTTATGACTTAGAGATGCTTGTTTTGTTAAAATGTCTATGATTTGGTTTCGAACTTGAAGTATTTTATGCTTTTGGATTGATTGTGAAGGCAAACATGGTTGATTTTGTTGTGAAATTGTGATGATATATTGATTTGTGAAATTAAAAATTACGATGATTATTCATATTTTTTTATTTTGAATGTTATATATCTATAAATTATTTAAATAATAATAAATCATTTAACCTATGTTACGCTATACGTTATCGCTATTGTAACCTAACCGGAGGTAAGCGTTACGCTATGCGTTAACGCTATTTTCAACATTGGGGACAGTTTTTATACCTAAGGAGACGGTTAGCAATGGGAACGATTTTTAGCAATGGGGACGGTTTTCAGATGTAAAGATATGAGAACGGGTATATATAGCAAAGGGGACAATTTTTAATTTTGACCGTGCAAAAGCAAATCATCCAAATATATCACATTTTTTTTGACGTGCAGTTTCAAAATTAAAAAAGAACAAAACAAAACGAGAACTCCATGATTTATACTTGCTCATGTCACAAACAAATAAATGAAACTCCAAATAATGTTAGTAGCATACAACCAAACATAAGGAACAATTCATTGATTCATTACAATGACTTTATGTCACGCCCCGCTTCCCAAAATACCGGGGAATCGGAACGTGAACAAGCCCGTGACGTATTAGATTAAAGAGAATAAATAAAATAATCATTTCTCTTCAACCTAATATGCTAAGCGTCTGGAAATAAATACAATGCGAAGTCATAGGTTCCCGATCATAGATAGTAAGAATATAATAAACAAACTCAGAATAAAATAATACATATCATATCACAAATGAATATCATCCAAGACATAATATTCGGGTCAACATGCCCTTATACAAAACTAAACAAATGAATGCTGAAGAGATACAAAAATACATCGATCAATGGAAAAAGAAGAACTACAAAAGTAACTGGAACCATCAACTAAGCTTCGACTTCTTCTTCTGTTCTGTCTGCAAGACTCCTGCTAAAAATCCTCTGGCTCCTGGTGATCTCCTAGCTGACCTGTTCTTCCTCTAAGTCTGATGTACACCAGAGAAAACAGGTGTACGTCAGCGTGCATGGAACACGACAAGACCCCACAAAGAAAATAGAATAAACGTGAAAATCCTTTGGCTCCTGACGATCTCCTAGCTGATCTGTTCTTCCTCTAAGTCTGACGTACACCAGAGAAAACAGGTGTACGTCAGTGTGCATGGCACACGACAAGACCCCACAAAGAAAAGAACGTACAAAAACCCAAGCGGAAAACGATATGATAACAGAAATAACAAAGAAAAGTACAACTAGAAATCCATCAAAATCAACATATAAATTCACTACTAAAACATGATAGACATAAAGCATCCAAAATCGATCAAGTAACGAGATCATGCAGCTAGCGATCAGACTAATCATCCAAGTAACAGGGGCATACACTAGATGGAATTAATACTTAAAAATCTACAACATGAGACGTAGTACGTCGAGCGAAATAATCCAAACAAGGAAACCCTCATGTATATACCATATGTTTCAAATTGTAGATAATCAAATATTAATCCCGATCTATGTATGAATGTATGAAAAAAAACACAACTGGCCTACATCTCACAAGAAATCATACCTAGCCAAGAAACGAGGTCATGTAACTAGCCATTCTATAACAGGTCACTGATCACATCTCACACAGAGCCAACGCTCATATCACCAGATAATTAACTATTCACAAATCCCCTACATGCATCCAAACCCGCGAAACGGTTCGGTGAGAGGACTACACGCAATCCGAATTTTGCCTTGTCCGAACTCAAGTAAAACTCGGGTGACAAAACGATTTCACTGACCAAGTGCGAAACGGTTCACTTGGCCCAACAAACTAACCCCAGTGCGAAACGGTTTACTAGTTCTAGTCTGAAAGATACATCAACAGTCTTATCCGATCACATGAACCATGACTTCCCCATCCCAACTCCCTTGTATTTTCTAAATCAACCATAATCCTTATTAAAACTCGGGTTCACCACCTAAACTCAGTCAACACACCCACACATGTCACTAAGTCTGTTCATGACGCACGAGGCCACTAAGTCATGAACTACTAAGGTTCTCAAACACAACATGGACAATACATAACAGACATGTCAAATACATTAAATAAATGCAAAACGTGAAATGTGATCATAAACAGTAAAAACATACATGCATCAACATTAGGCCATGGATTCGTAACCTACAAAAAATCCAAACTGAAAGAATTAATCAAGAAAACTTTGTGAAGATAATCAACAAAAAAAGTACCTGACCAAACGAGTCCAAGAAAGCCTAAGCACTACATAGTTTCTCAGTAAAGTCATATACAAGCTAAATTAGTTTTTCCCCCATCCAACCATCGACCATAAACTCAAGTTGTTGAAAGCTAACATCAAAAGGTTGGAAGGAAAACTAGTATTATGCATTGATTTCTATAGACCAAACGTTGAGATAAATCTGACAAGATAAATTTAATGTTGGAAATGTGTGTGGAGATCACCCTGCCTCCATTCAATGTTTTCCACATGTAGTCTTTCAATTGTTCAGTTGAAATATTTTCTTCACACTCTTTTACAATTGATTTGATCCACGGTAGCACTTCCTGCAACACCAAACATAAAAAAATATGAGTTTACAAAAGAAATCACTTCAGTGAAGTATTGGTTACGCTCATTGTCTGGCTCAATAAGTAAACATTGGCTACAGTACAACAGATATTAGACAGGAAGCTTGCAACTTACAACGGTAGCACATTGAAAAGCTATCAACCAGATTGGATGTCTATGCTCTAATCATAACCAACGTTAGGAGAGCCCATAAAATCCGCATCATTCTTTTGAGCAACTGTTTCATATCGAGAGGCATTCAGCAGACAGTCTCTTTCTAAGAGTAGGCATCAAAAGTGATTTTATCAAAAATATTTCCCAAAAATCTTTATGCAAATTAGGTGGCGACAGGCTAGAAACTAGCCAGATTTACAAAGTTCATTTATTGATTCGTTATAAATTTGTAGGATTGACTTGAGTATCCAATCATAATACTTATTAATCTGGCTTCGCATGAGGAGAAGAATAATCAGTGCTAACCTGTGTTGTCTGTGCACGGGGGCAAATACTGAGTCGAGAGACCACTTGTTCTTTGAATGCACCTTCTCCTCCTACATATGGAACTCAATCATGGATTGGATGAATTTCAAAAAGAAATCTTGTAGCTGGAGACATATTTGGAGCTGGTTTTCTAGTATGAGAGGGAAAGCTCTATAGGTCAAGCTTAAAAGATTAGTTTTGACAGCTTCAATTTACTGCATATGGAGAGAGAGGAATGCAAAAATGTTTGCGCAGAAGTTTAGTAGCGCGGATCACTTGATCAATGTCATAAAGTTTGAAGCCTCTACAATCATCTTCAACAACCCCCCCCCTTTTTTTGAGGAGTGTTTCTGTTTGAGTTTGAGCTCTCACCAACGAATATGCTGAGTATTCTTGAGGTGTACATAATTTCATAAATGGTTGATGAATAAAAATTTTCATTTACCAAAAAAAAAAAGTTTGCTTTCATTTTGCTACCTTATGTAAATTTTTAGCATTTCCATCATGTTTAAGCATCATAGTGAGCTCATGCAGTCACATTTAGACAGAACAAAAGTGATTTAAGTTTTGAACTAGGCTAATTAATCTGCAATTGTTTTTTGAGTTATAGGGTTTGATATCTAGATCCAATTAAACCAATCTATTTTTAGGATCCATATGTAGATCCAATAAGCTATATGACACAAGGACCTATATCCTAATATTCGGGTTGGATTCTGATTGAATTATCAAATTATCAGCCCCATTCCACAACTAACAACAATACAAGCAATTGTATCTAGTAATAGTAATAGCAAGCACGCTGATGGTAATTTGTACCCAATAAAAAAGTCCACGCCATATAATTTGAGAATTGTATGTAAGTGTTCAACCGCTATTAGAGAAGTCAGTACATAGAGAGTGTAGTTGTTTTGTTGGTTCTATACTTAAGGGTAGCACAGCTATATCCAGCAGACGTTCATATGGCATCCCTTTTGTATAATATCAGAACTTCTGCAAAGCAAAACACTTAGGAAAACTGACTTAGTACCGGATTAGATAGGATGCTATATCAGCAAATTTCATAAAAATAAATT